CTCCGAAGACCGGAATAAAGTGAATTCAGGTCAGCAAGGGGTCGCCGATTGAGAAATGTGGGGTATACATATTGTGGGCGGGGCCAGCCCGAGGTGGGCGGAGCCAGACGAAAATTCTCTAAAACTGTCCCAGAGCACTTCAAAGACCGGAAAAAAACGTGGATTAAGGTCAGCAGAGGGTCGCCAGTGAGGATTGTGGGGCACAAAAATTGGGGGCGGAGCCTGCTTCGAGGTGGGCGGAGCCAGACAAAAATTCTGTAGAACGGTTCCAGAACACTTCAGACACCGGAAAAAAGTGGAGTACAGAACAAAAGGCGGATATCAGTTGAGTCTAGTATGTGAAAGAAAATACGCGCGGCGAAGCCGCGCTCGCCCGGCGCAGCCGGGCCGTATCAGAAGGAGGCGCGCCGGCGTTAGCCGGCGAGCCGACTGGTACTTTATAGTACACTGTACTGCGCATAGTATATGTCTATATCGCCCTCCAGTCCACATACGTCTACTGCCATCACAACTGGTCGCTTCGCTCCGCTCTTCATCTAGTGCGTGAACGACGTCCATCACTGCTGGATGTCGTCCACATCCAACGCGCCGTGCACCAGCGTGTCTTTGGACGTTGGATCAACGTAGCGCCCGCCGATCGTCACAGTAACCACAACGAACGGAGGTGCATCTGAGCCTCCTGGACAGCCGGAGGCGAGGATGGTTCCAATGCACCTAGTGGATTGTCGTCTCGTGATCCGTATAAACGTACGCAGGGCTCGTCACCGTAGGCTTACGGCCGTACCTTCCTTTTTCTTCCTAGTTGTTTTTAATTGCTATTTATTTATTAAGTTATATCCATAAACTCAAGGCGTGATCATATTAACCACCCTATTCAAAATCGTGGAAGATTTTAATCAAATAAAAAGATGAGGAAAATTAGAAAAAGTAATATTTTGACTTGAGGAAGAAGCAGGTCGTTCTTTCGTCGCTGACCCACCTGAGTCGGGAGCGTTTGGGCCACTGGCACCGTCGTTTTTTTTCAAGAAGTGCGAGTGCGAGAAAATTGTTCTTGATGCCAATTTCGGCAAGTGACAAAACGTCGTAGCGCTCGCCGTTGGATATTACCTTCGACTGATCAGAGCAGCTGAAATAGCAGCCAGCCGTAAATCGGGCGAGCAGGGCGATTGAACTCAGTTCTCGATATTGTGTCCGAGCCTACCCAATATTACGGTTACTCGAAATGTGGCAATGTGACGAGCAGTGGTGGCCTCGTTGTAGTTGTGCGATGCCATCCATTTGCCGATCTAGCCTTCAAGATTCAGGCGATGGACATCGACAACGATGCTTCTGTTCTCTTTTAAAAGCCAGGAATCTATTGTCATAATGATTATCGGCCTTGGATCCACGTAACTCCTGATGACAGAACTCAGACTGCTTCTCATGTGCATTCATAAAATGTTGACGCCTGTGAGTGTCCGCTCGTAGTTCAAGGCAACCCATACTTTACCTGAAGGCACGTTGCGTTTTTACAGTCGCGAATGACATCTTGTGTGGAAAACACCACTGCTACAGGCACTCGACCGATTCTGCTTGTGCTCGTGTTTTCGAAGAAAACGATATACCCGAACACCCACTCTTTAGACAATTCTCAATTTCTCGGACATAATTCGGGCAGCAACTGCAGCAGGGGCGTCAGTCTCGCGATTCAGCACTTGACTTCATCCACCCGCTTTTTGTGCATGATGAAAATTACGGGACCATCATGAGTATCTCGCCCACAAGTTTTTTCCGTACTTCCCTCTTTGGACTTCTGCATCAGATTTTCCACATACCATTGATGAAATACCTTTCTACGAAACTGCTGGAAGCTGAATTTTTTCCTCTCACAAAGCCCGATCTCGTAATACCCCGCTATTTCTGAGCACTTGGATTTCTTTCAACTTCTCCTTAGACTTTCTTCTGCGGCTAGCCAAATTTCACATGTACG